AGTATGTTCTGAAGTTAGTGCTCTGAACGAAAATTCCTTTCTATCTCTGGGTTTTTTTTTTTACACAATCTCCTTGTCAAATACTTCACTTCTAAGTTTCGCCTTTTACAAGTTTTCTGATGGTAAACTTCCTCGGTCAAAAAAGTGGCATAGTTCATTTTAAAGACAACCAAGTAGACCAGAGAAAGAAATCTATTCAATGAAGCATCATTACACAGCGTCGATCTCTAAACTCCATGCAACAAATCGAAACAGGGTCAGGTCAATGTTCAGTGGCGCACTCCTTAATTTACCTATTTATTTATCTTTGTGATATAAGAGTCATAAGTACTTGCTAGTGACACTTATGGTGTTTAACTTGCACAAGAAGAGACGTCAAATATAAATAAGTATGTAGTTCGTTTGGTATCATTTAGTCATTCGTTCATATTTGGCATGTAGTTTCTATAGGAATTCGATGTTCGAAGCTATATAGGTTTAAGCCATCGCAATGAGTTTCCAAGTTGGACATGTGTTGTTTAACTTCAATAAGTGGACGCTCATATTTTGTTGACGAACGTTTTATTGAGCTGTTTCATACGTCCCAAATAACGAACTAAAATATTTCTTGGTCAAAAGTGAAGACCATTCTTCCCAGATTTAATCCTACTAAATTTTAAAAGGAAAAGAGTACATGAAGAGATAATTTCAGGGACAGTTAGTGACGTTTAAGGCATTAAAATATATAGACTTTGTCCCCAAAGTCACAGACTTATATTAATGTATGATACATCAGTCTTAATGACTCTTCAGCTCCAAAGAAAAAATGCTAAGCTTGTAATGTATCTTATATGAAGGAGTAATATAGTTTTTAATTACTTGGTGATTATTTACCCTAACAAAATCTGATTTATCATTAATGATTAATATATAGTAATTCATTCAAGCAATTCTCAGCCTGATTCCCTTTAGACCGTCGAGTTGGGAAAAGGGGGTAATGAATGGCCACCAGAGGCCAACTTTTGCTACTTAAGGGGAAGGGCGCCTCGTTGTCTCGTTCAATCGAGCTTGATTTTGAATGTGCTGACAAGGAAAAGTTCGTTACTTAAGCCGGAAGATAAACAAAAAACATCAATGCAGCAACATGACAAAGTCTCAAGGCTGCTATGTGACAAATCAAAGCAAAGTCTGGTCACATTTTAAGTACGCAGGTTACTAATTGATAATAGCGTAAAAAATGTTCTCAATGTGACCGGTTTTTAACTGAAGCCTCTAGAGGTCAAAACTATTTACCAGTTAAACCTGTATTAGTTCGCATACAAAGTAAAGCGCATGAAAGGTGTCTATTTTCTATGAATTTACAAGGCCTGGAGAACAACAAGAAAACTCAAAACATTTATTCGAGTCTCTCAGTAAGGCTCTCTAAGAGTCCGATCGTGGCCATCAACTCCTTTTTAAAGTTCTGTTTACCCTGTCTTTTCTGATATGTCGGGCTGCTAACGCTAATGGTGGCGTGGCAAATTCTAGCAACAAGACATATAGCAACTTTTAACCTGTGTTTTAGTCGAATTTAAGCTGACTTTGAACCGAGACACGGCGACAGAACCTAGACAAATATGACGTCCCAAGCAGATAGCAGCTGCGGCGCATTAGTTCTAAGCCTCAAACACCGCAGCAAATCTTCACCTATGTTTACCAGCTTTTCTGAGGCTAGATCTTTTTGTGGATCTGGAAAAGAATTGGAAAAATTGGCTTCAAACATGGAATTTACCCTCAATTTACACTCGCAGTACCGAGTAGCGTCTTTCATCACATGTATCAGGTCAGAAGCCGTCAATATTAACTCTGGTTCACCTTTGCCTCCAAGGAAGAGAAAGGTAGGATCGATAAAGTCTTAGAGTCGTGGACTAATTACCGCGTAGGCAAGACGAACACAATTTACGAGCGCTAAACAAATTTCAGTCATAATAGGGTAAGACCATTGCTGAGCAAAATTCATCAAGCTGGAAAAGGAGAAGTTCGAATTCAAATGAAGCAAAGTTCCATTCATTGGATATGTGATGACAAAGAATGGATTGAATTCCAAGGCAGAGCATAGGAAATCGGATGCAACAGTCAAGATGGAGCGAAAAGCACATGTATCAGCACTGCAGAGATTTATAGGGCTAGTGAGGCACCTTCCTAAATTCCTTCAAAACCTTTCAGAAATGTGAGACCATTACGCCGCCTGACACACAAGAATGCGAGTGGATTTGAACTCAAGAGATTCAAAGCACCAATAGTCAAGTACTTCAGCGAGAGTGACCTAAAAGAGGACTAAGGAGATGTGTCCAAGGATAAGCTTAGCTTTTTACTGATGGAGCATGGTCAACCAGTGACATCTAGAAGTGGGGCACTCCCGTTGGCAGTGAGGAAGTGCTCAAAGATCGAGAATGAAATTTTTGCCCCGGTCCTTGGTATACAGCGTAACCACCTATATGTGTTCGGTAAGAAAGTCGTCCTGCGGACTGCTTTTGTCGCGACTTCAGCAGTATGACTACGAGATACGCTACAAGCCTAGGAAAGGTATGCTGACAGCCAACACTTTGTCAAGAGGTTACATAAAGGACTGTGAGCGTTCCCCCCCAGAAGTAGAGGTCGAAAGCCCACATACCTATCACTACCGTCCAGACAACTAATTCAAGGAAATCCAGACAGAGAGAGAGACGACTTGTCCCTCAGCGCTTCAGAGCTTGAAAAACACAATCTCGGAAGGCTTCCTTGTTGCAAAAGTTAGACTAAACAGCCAGACAAACCCACATGTGGCAATACCAAGTAAGGCCCAGTCTCTCTCTGTTACACCTGACAATTTTCAAGAAATCGCCCATAGATTCTGTACGCAATAAGTCTTCTGGACTTCAAGAAATACGACGACAGTTGAAAACGCTCAGATGGGATCTAAAAGTGTGAACAAGGACCACGAGAAATTTGTGTGTGGCACCAGGCAACCGAAAGCTTCGTCGAAAAGTGGAATTATTTCTGAGGTCCAAAATGTCCGGTCGGAAATCAATCTCATCGAGATTTAACTGATCATGAACCAACCAATTCATTTAGATGGACATAATCGAGGGGTTCTCGAACTTAAACTGGCGGAGATGGAAAGCAAATTGACATATTACAAAGCCACTTAAAAACAACTGAAAAAAGGAAAAAGGAAGCCTTTAGAATATTTAAAGTCCAATTTCATTGAAAGGAACGACTTACTTCTTATAATCTGAGAAATACTGGGATCATAATTGCACTTCTCCTCTCAGAATTTTTGAAGTGAAGCTCTAGTTTCCGCTCAGGTCGCCACTTGCGTCAAGCGTCATCGCTGACAGAATTTGAACTTTAACAAACCGTCCCAATTTTTAGTCAGTTCTCCTTTCACTATATCTGTAGCACGGCATCCATGCAAATCTGTATTATGACTTGCTATATTTTAATCTTTTAGAAGTACAGAAGGTAGAAGTACGACGTTTTTACTTGGTAGACTCCGTGTCAGTGTCTATATTTATAATCATAATCTTGTAATTCCACGAGGATTGACCGTGAGTAAACGTAAAGGTCTTTCACGTAAATTAAGTGACACATTCTGACATGTAAAGGAGGCGATTTATGTTAAGAGCGTTTTATCGGATAACAATTTATTTTTTTTTATTCTTTCTATCAGTATTACAAATTTCTTATGCATATCGATGTTTTACTGGACAATGCCAAACTGACAGCTTAAAGAAGGCCACTATTAACAATTTCAAATTACATTTCTAATTTTTTTTTGTTTCTTATCTTTCAGAGTCTTGTCTGATAACCCGTTGAAGAGTTTGCCATCTGACATTTTCGCTACAAATACTAAATTGATTTGGCTGTAAGTTAATTTTTCCTCTATTAAGGGACATCAAACAATATTTGTCTTTGTATTGTACAACACACTAACCCACTATTACGTGTTTATAAATGTTTGGGTACCACTTTTAGTTTGAAAAACAAGAAAAATTTCACTCTGATATTATGATTATACGCTGAGACTAACAGATCATATGACGACATTAGAAAGGCTTTAAGGAAAGGGTATAAAATAAAATAAATTGGACAATGATCCTCGAAGTTGACCTGTATTTCATACAATTTCAAAAACTGAGAAGCCCGAGCAAAAATTCAGGCTTCAACAAAATTCAAACCCGTGCCTCCCCAAACCTAGTGGAGTTCCTCAACCAACTGAGCTAAGACACCACTCGTTGAGATCAGGGCACATTTTAGAGGGTTCTTCTATCCCGTAGAGGAATATTATCATATTTTTTGATGAAATAAATTTTGCGGATGAAAATCAAGCAAAGCAATGATCCTTGCAGGTAAGGTGCAATTGCACAACCGCGCCTGCGAAGATCAGTTTTGTACTTGATTTTCATCTGCAGGTCAAAATGAAACTTATTTCTTAAGAAAATAGGATCAAAATACAAGACAAGATATCGCAAGAACTTTCGGAATCATGTAAGGAGGAAAATACGATGGTGTATTCGAAAATCAGAAAGATAACCTTTCTATATGTTTTCGGAGCAACAGATTCGGAAAGGAAACGGGGAACCACAAATTATCGTAAGATGAACCGCAAAAAAAAAAGCCTGTTTCAGTTCATCTATCATGGGAAAAGGCCCGAAAGGTGGCCTAAGACCGATGTAGCTGGAGGATTGTTTTTGAGGCCTTATGAGTAGCTTGTTTCTCCGTCAAAGGGTACATAACTGAGTTAGGATAAGCACGACAGACAAAACCTTGCTCGTCTTGATAAGTGAGAATATTAAAACATATGTATAAGGCTGCACCATTTTGATTTCACGGTAAAATCTCAATAATAATCATTTTGAGTTGTCTACACAATCCTCAAGCTGCATTTCAAAACTGAGTTTATTCCACTAGTCATCTGGTTTATTACTTTATATGCATCCCAGCTCTGGCCTTTATTTAGTGTGCTAAATTTTCGTCGAATTCATAGGTACTTGTCTGAAATGCAATTGCACCACCTACCTCCAGGAATCTTTGACAAGAACACACAGCTAAGGAGTCTGTAAGTAACCTCATTTTTTTCTGTCTGATCCGCGCTCCTAGATTCTTAGTGATGCAATATAAGCGTTAATAAGATTGACGAAATTTGCAAATATTTCATTCATAATATGTAGCTATTTAAGTACAAAATAAATTCACCTTTAATTAACACTACTAGTCAACTTTCGCACCTGCAGAATAAGAACTCTAATCTCAGACCAGCTGCACAACAGTTCTACAGGCCTCCAACTTATTTTTGTTGTTGTCGTTGTTTTATTAAATTTACCAGATTATTCGTTTCGCTTCGCAAATTAAGAATTAATATCAAACATCATGAAGATCACATATCGACTGTTGCGTTCTGGATCTTTGTCCAGGAATAACCGTTTATGAGATTCATCCTCTGTATAAAAGGCATCATAAAAAGAGTATTCAAGTTTCCATCATTAACAAATTTCCATATATATGTCAAATGGAATTATGTTGTAAGACGCGTATTACGTGTGAAGTTAGCACAAGCAATCCTTCACGCGATGACGGCGATGCCGACTTTTGCTCACATTTCAAAACGTCCTTAACTGTCCTGAACAAGTTAAAAAACAGATAAACTTCTTGTGCATCTTAGAAATATTGATCAGTTTTATATGGTAAATAACGCAGACGTCTGAATGACAACGACATGAAAGCATTGAATGGAAGTGTCTTCAAAAACCTGACATGGCTAAAGGAACTGTAAGTAAATGTATCAATACTGTTGTGGAAAGAATTCCTTATCCTAAAAACAAAATTATGGATGATAAAATTTACTAACTGCTTTGGCTGGATCAGGACATATCGTGATCTGCTGAATTATGTTGTGAAAATAAAACAGAGGTAGATAATGATTTTATAGCACTGCATCGAGTTTGGGAACATTAGTCGATTGGTTAAGTTTTTATTGTGTTATTGATAAGGTAATATGCTGAATCGTATCTCGTATCGTTATATTGTATAGTGAGAGGTAATATATGGCTATTTTCTTTGCTGTGGATCAAATTATACAGCTATCAAAGAAAAACTGTTTTCATAACGCAGCAGCATTCCCCTCTCCTACTGCCCTGTCTATACTTGTTTTTCCATTTCATTTTTTTCTTTTCTCTTTTCTTCCCTTCCCGTCAGTGATCATAAGACAAGGCGGTAAATAAATGTTTCAATAAAACTAAATAGATTTTGCATACAGATCATATTTTTTTCAAATTACAACACAGATGGTTGCAAGACAACAACTTCACTGAATTGCCTCCTGATTTATTCCAAGATCTAAAAAACCTGAGGCTGCTGTAAGTTAATTCAAGTTTTCCCCTTTTTTAACTCAATAACTGCGTAGAGTGTCCCAAGACTGATAAAATTTTTCCTCTCTTTTGTAAAATTACAGCTCGTGATTGCTTATATATTTTTACACAGATCCTGCTAGTATCGTAATTTTCTTTCCTTTAACTAATCAAAGCATATAACAAGAAAGTGATTTAAATCGTCCCATCTGCACCGATAACACATAAATGAAAATTGAATCATCCTATATTATGTTTTTGTTGCTGAAGTTACAGTTTCAGTGACAACGATCATACATAAATTAAGGAAATTCATGCATGTTATGAATATCAGAGTTGTTTTCATGGGACTTCTATCTCTGTTTTGAACCATGTTGGAATATTTTTTTAGATCACGAGCTTAATGATCTCTTCATTGATACACGAGAGGCAGCCATTGTCTATGTTGGGGAAAAGAGTTCAGTGAATACGCAAATTTCAAGTTATCAGCGGCCTATAATTGCTTTTCTCGTTATAGATATTGACCAAACTAAATGAATGAAGTGACTCTTGAATATTCTCTGTATTATAAGACAAACATTGCATGTATATATATGACTACATGCTGCTCTTTGGTTGGTTCTGATGACTAGCAACTTTATGTACGATAAATACAATGAGAGAGATGGTAAGTTTTGATCTCAGTAAAGAAATAGAGAAAGATGTTTTTCGTCTTGTCACGAGCGTGTAACAAAGAAAAACTTCTGAGTCCCTATGCAAAATTGAAAATCAGACCTTCAGAGCTCTATACTGAGCCACAGAGACTCTACGGTGGGCGAGGTGTAATACGAAGTCTATGACACGCGTCCTGCATACTGCTAGGACCAGGAATGTCGATAGCGTCACCGTAGATAATTTTTTCTTTCTCCTACATTCGTGACAAGACGAAAAACATCTTTCGCTGTCTTTATGTATTTTAACTTGGAAATTTCAGATCGCAGACTTAATGAAAATGCTTTTTTTTTGTCTCGTTATTCCAACCAGCCTTCTGTCAAATAACAAGTTGAAAAGTCTACCAGACGGACTTTTTAACAGCCTTTCCAAGCTGACACATCTGTGAGTGAAATAGCAATTTAACCAAGGAGATAATTGTGAAGAACCAAATGATCATTTTTAAAATGTTGTTTACAAAAGCATAGCCGTCACACCTGAAAAATCATGACTTTTCCAGCTTGTATTTGTTAATCTGGTCAGTTGAATTAGAGGATGCTATTTTATGTGGTTGTTGTGCTTTGATTAGTAATGTTAAGGTACTAGGAGGTGTAAAAGTTCAAAAGCTTCTGTTTAAATAGGAACCTTAACAACTCCCAGATTTGTTTTTCTGCAGGATAAAGTACCTTCTTTCAAAATATGATAAGCTATTAACTAACGGCTGATGATGATAATAATAGCAATGATAATAATAGTAATAATAATGATGATGATGATGATAATAGTTGTAACGGAAAAGTAATTTTGCATTTGGATTTCATCTCTATGCCGCCGGTTTGTTTTGTTTTTTTACCTTTTTTTTTGGCTTGTTTGTTTTACGGTTTTGTGCTATAGAGGTTTCCCCCCAAAAAAGTTGGGGAATGACATTTCCTTGATTTACCCGTTTTTCAATTTTGTATAAATGAAACATGTTTCATTTAATGTTTTCCCTTAAAAAATTAATCATTTTTTTTATCGTAGCGTTCTTAGCAAGGATAATTTCCTAGGATCTTCTTGAGCTGGAATTTAAAACATTAACCTTTTTTCTGGGAATATGTCTGAGGGATTTAGGGGAAATAAACTGAAAAGGGAAAGCAAATGCACCAGTAAACAACATTTTCTGAGAGTTTGGTAGTTCCATCATAGGCGAAATCTTTGTAGCTGTGGTAATAATTGTTTTCAGGGATTTGTCAAACAATGAAATTGGAAATCTGCCACCGTATATTTTCAGGAACATTACAGCGGTAGAATTTCTGTAAGTAAGATAAATATTGGCATAAAAAAAATTATTAATTATTGTTATAGGATTTTCTTGAATATGAAAGCACTTTATGACAATAAAAGCTTCCTAGTTAATGACAACTTACTTTATAATTTACCTCTGGAAGGCCAAGGTTTTGTTTTCCTTGTATCCACAATATCTAAGAATTTGTTGTATTGCAGGATCAAACTATCCTGGCACTAATGTTGTAATTTGTAACAGGAAGCGAACCAATAATGATTTTTTTTCAACTTCAGCTTTAAACAACAGTCCTCGTTCGAGGCCCATGGGAATAAACTTGAGAGTTTTTGTGCTTAATCTTGAGATCATTATAGATATGTCTCATGTGTTCTTTGAAGATTAAGATATAAAGACTGGGAGCTATTTTACTGGAAAACATCGCCATTCCCTGCCTTAACTACAGAAGTTACCTTTAAAAAGCAGATCTAAAAATATCACTCCCACATGAGCTAATTTCAGTCTGAACTGCCCATGATGCTCTTTTTAGGAAAATGGACTACAACAAAATTGAGAAAATTCATGAAGATCAGTTCCAGGGCTTGGTGGAGCTGTTCGATTTGTAAGTACACTTAGACCTCAAAATCTTTCTCCATGATGATCTGAATCGCACACTGTACACAGTGATATTATTTTAATGTTAACTCCATTATAGCTTTAATAAAAGTTGCCTTACCCAATCATGTTATGTTAATGTATTTTAAAATTTATTTCATTATCCATTCCACCTATTTAAGATATCTCTCAGAGAACAAAATCGAGGCTCTGCCTGACAAAATTTTCAAGGGCGTCAAAAACCTCAAAGCTCTGTGAGTACAGATAATCACGCACAAAAGAATTCTACAATATTTGAAGTGATGGAATGAATATAATATAAGCGTTCAAAATCTGAGATTTTAGTCCAAAAATTTAACATGATGTAGGACAGATATGGTGAAAGTTACCTTGTTCAACGAAGCAATGTTGTTCAATTTCATGTTGCACTAAAAATGTGCTTTTTAATATAAACAAAGGTGGATATCATAGAAACAAAAAGAAAAATTTTGGAGATCTGTTTAGTTTTAACGAAAAGTCCATGTAAATCTATTAGGACGAGGAATATGGCTACTGCAAGTCCCCGTTTAGGACCTAATTGTAAATGGTTACGTACTTCGTTTCAGCAATATCTTCGGCAATAGGATACAAAACGTTACCAGCACGACTTTCAACTATGCCCACGAATTGCGATTTTTGTAAGTTTACTGAGAATGACAGATGTTTATCTAGGCAACTAAACTTTGTTGCAGATATTGAAATCGGATAACTTGTGGGCGAGTATTCTTTTGATTTTGTTGTAAGCAAAGAAAAGACTCGTAAATGGTAGTTTTTGAAAATAACTTTGACACACCAGAGCAATATTTCCCTGGATGAGTCCGGAAAGAGACTTTTATACAGCGAACGAACTCAACCGAATGGGCTGCCACGTTCAAAAATCAGTAGCCATCAAAAGTTTCCAAGAAAGCATGATGAGACCTATCTTGGGCTTAATGTTCAGATTTGAAAAATCTTTGAGAAAATATCATGCTAGGGTCCGTAATAAAAATCCTCAGTTAGGGTTCTTTATTTTGTCCTTTTGGACAGTTTTTTTTAACATTTACATTAGCTTGATGAATCTTATTCTTGAAAATTCATTTTTTGCAGTGAATCATTTTGTTCGGTTAATTATGATATAAACCAGCTTAATGTTCATATCATGATTATTTGAAATTACAGGTTCATGCATTACAACCTGATGGCTGAGCTCCCCAAAGGCTTTTTCAGGCACTTGACGCACATCATCAGAGTGTAAGACTCCATAACGATCCCTTCCTTCACTCACCCCTTCAAACAATCATTTTAACAATAGTCTATGTTATTAATCAATTAATGATTATTAATGGATTTCAAAGATGCAATAATGAAATGATATTTCTTCTTTTTCTTCTTCTTCTTCTTTTTTTGAATTTTAGAACCTTGGACACCAACCTGATGTGCTGCCATCTCGATCTTTTCAGGCAGGATGCTGATTGCGAATATGTCTTCAATGATAACTTCGCAAGCTGCCACTCCATGTTCCGCCACCATGCTCCAAGGAGAACTCTTTGGATTGTCGGTCTGCTCTCGTTGTTAGGGTCTTTATTCGTAGTTGGGTGGCAGTATTTCTACCCTGATAACAATGTGGTCCAGTCTATCATGTTGGTGAATCTAGGTGTATCTGACGGCATCATGGGGATATACCTTATCATTATAGGTATAAAAGACCTGCAATGGTCAGGGGAATACTATCTGCATGACTATGAGTGGCGCACCGGGTGGTTTTGCCATTTCAATGGTGCCATGTCTGTCTTTTCAAGTGAAGTGTCAGTGATGATGATTTCTCTGATCGCATTGGACAGACTCAAGAACATCGTGTTTCCTTACACCTTTGCAAAAATTACCCCAAGGCAGACCCGTATAATGTGCGTGGTTATCTGGCTGGTGGGAGGCGTTATGGCATTCCTTCCCTTGTCCGGAATGCACTATTTTAGTGAGAGGTATTACGGCAATAATGTAGTGTGCCTGCCCCTGCAGCTTTCCCCTGAATTACAAGAAGGCTGGGAATACTCCACTTCCATCTTTATCGTTTTGAATTTTTCCCTATTCATCTTCATCATGGTTGCTTATTTTGCCATCTTGTGGAAATCATGGTCGTCAAGCAGACAGCTTGGTGCACATGGAACTGTTCGTGAAATACGAGCAAGAGCACAAAGTGCTCAGGCCAAAAGAGAAAGAGCACTTGCCAAAAGAGTCTTCTTCATTATTCTGACCGATTTCTTGTGTTGGATGCCAATCATTGCTATCGGCATCCGTTCCCACGTCGAGAAAACATTTGATCCACCTGGTGATCTGGCAGTGTGGATTGCAGTGTTCGCTCTACCGATAAATTCAGCCATCAACCCATTGCTGTATACGCTTTCTACTCCACAGGTAACATGTTTCTCTTTTTTGTTACTTTGGAATAGCACCTACCGTTATGTTCAAATTTGGTTTCGTGTCTGAGCAGGCTGGCAACTCAATTTTGTAATTGTAACGATTGACATCAAAACAAGCATGAAAAAGTAAATGATCGGACAGATTTTTTTAGCTTCTCCGCCGTTGACTTTAGCCATAGAGACCAACGTGACTTCTAAATACGTTACTTGAAAGTCTTAAGGTAAACTATTCAATATATTTTGAATGTCTAGGTTCAGCCTGTGTTGAAAGCAAAACTGAGGAAGTTGTGGTCCAATGTTCGATCTATTTTCAGCAGAGGACAAAATCAAGAAGGTAAAGTTTTAAGTTCCATTGAAAAATACCATGATGACAGTAATTATATTTCAAACCTTGAAATGAAGAAACTTTAACTTTTATCAAATTGAGTATGAGCAACCCAGTTTTCTCTAAGTAATTTATGTGATTATTACTCCAAGGCTTTCAAGGGGGAATAGGGTAGAACTGGCATGAAATCGTAGAAAACACATGTATTTTTTTTTTCGAAAAAGAAACTGAGCAAATTATTGAAACCACAAATGTACAACTTACAATATGTAAAGTTGTAGCAGACGTAAAAGAGAAAACAAGAGTGATCCTAAATAGAGAGGGCATCAATGTATTAAATCATCAATTTTAATGATGGAAATCATGCTTTCAGTTCGATTTTTGAAGGTTAGTATCTCTAAAACTAAACTATTAGGGAACATTGAGACAAATGGATGCCATTTGCGATAAATTTTTAAAATAGCATGCTAGTCAAAACTCATTCTGCAAACAATTCTCAAAGTAGGAACTGCTATACTTCTGTCTTAAATCATAAGGTTAAGATTCTGAATTGTAGAATGCCTTTTTTATATAAACCTGACAATGGCCATTAAGTTTTAAATTGGTGTTACTTTTTCATATGAAAGAAGCAGATAATGATCAGCAGGGACAGATTGGAAATGGAGATGAACATGCTAACGTCGAAGAGGGTAAAAATAGAGTGCTTCTTAGTGTAGTCACATACGAAATATCTCCTCCACGCCTTTGTAGGGTTCTGTGTATGATACTTTTCTTTCCTTTCTCTTTTCTATACTTAATTCCTTTTTTTCATTTTCTTTCCCGTAGGAGAGCAAATTGAAATGCAGGTATTGGAACACAACGAAGTCCCAGAAGTGGAAGCCCCTGAATTGCCTGCACCGCAACCAGGTCAGTTAAGAAATATAAGAGTTTTGATGCCAACGATAAAGCTGTAATTGACTTTGCAATCCAAAACTCTTGGCAGGTATGTATAGTTTAATCAATTAACCTAACAAATATTAGTTCTCTCAATTTGAAATACCTATAGAAACCATAGCATTCCTTTTCTGCTCAGATAATTTCTATAGGTGCATTTTAAGAAAGATTTTAACTTAATTCCTGTTTTTCATTTTCTTTCCCGTAGGAGAGCAAATTGAAATGCAGGTATTGGAATACAACGAAACCCCAGAAGTGGAAGCCCCTGAATTGCCTGCACCGCAACCAGGTCAGTTAATAAGTATAAGAGTTTTGATGCGAACGATAAAGCTGTAATTGACTTTGCAATCCAACTCCCTTGGCAGGTATGTATAGTTTAATCAATTAACCTAGCAAATATTAGTCCTCTCAAATTGAAATACCTATAGAAACCATAGCATTCCTTTTCTGCTCTGATAATTTCTGTAGGTGCATTTTAAGGATAGATTAAGGAATGGTTTCCCATATGACAATAATGTGACGAAATTAGGTTATATTTCTTTTGGTTGATAAGTTACCTCCAGACATTCTGGTGATAAATTGCCATATGCACTTTTTAAGACCTCCACCCATGAGATCCCCATCCCTTTACATTGGTAACCTGTACAGTGTATTATGGACGGAAGATACCATCGTCTCCCATATGACACGGTTGTAGTTAATAAATGATACATATATATTGACAATGATCTTTCATTGTTTCCAGTTTTCACTTATATTGTATGAAGAAAGATAATTCTTTGCTCTGTTGACAGCAATTGAACAAGCCTGTGGAGGGGATGCGAATCCATCTTCCTCAGGTAAAAATTTATTTATGAAAGAAATATAAAAAGAAGGCGTAGACAACCGCTTGATTTAAGAGAAGTACTAGTACTGCAAAAGTCACAGTTGCCCAATGTGACTTCAACTGCAAATTGCTTTTTACAAACGGTCATAGGAATCGCCAAAATGAAAAAAAAGGTAATGCGTCTTAACAACTGTATTTGGCAGAGATACTATTTCAGCAACTATTTTCATGCGCCCAAATTAACTTTCAGATTTAAATGTGAGCTTTGTAACTCGGTGTTATTTCATAAATTAATATATAATTGAATACATCTGAAATTCTGACGTACCTAAAATAAAATTGTAGAGATATTTATTGCAGAATAACACATGAACCATAAGTGTCATGAAACATTTTACTCTACTTGTTCCTTAAAACAGAATATCAGGAGGATTTTGACATCAGACCAGCCACTACAAAGACTGTGGAAGGTAAACACCTTTTCAATTTTCATTTCATTTTTTGCGGAAATTTCGTAACTCTAAAAAAAAACAGCGAATGGTGGCTGGTGCTATCAAGCTGGCGCACTTGGTATACTTGATTGCATGGTTTTGTATGTCACACCAATAAGACTGGGGTTATCATGTGAACGCTTAATCACCAATCAAATCACGATTCTAAGTCTGTCACATGCAAAAATTTACGAGAGCAGCTTGTCAGTCTCTATTTCCGGTAAGTTACAAAACCCTTTCTCAGTTACTAAACCTAATGGGTAGATGAATTTAAAAAAGTCTTATTGGAAAGTTTGTTGTCGTCAAGGACTTAAGACTTAGTTGCGTTGTAAATGTAACTAACGTAACTTTTAATAATAAATCTGATTTCACACAGCTGGTAAATCTGAGGAGCAGGTGGAGGTTGAAGAGATTTCGGTGCCCAGTAACAAAGGTAAAGGAGATAATGGGTTTTGATTAGTCACCAACCATTAATGATTTTCACTTCTAAGTACAAACACAAAATTTAATGACTGTATACTAACTTTTTTCGTATCAAATAAATCATTTTTTAAAGGAGCTAAAATAGCTGAAGAAGAAGAGAAGGTGCCTGAGCCTGACATGGTTGTCGCAGAGGAAGGTAACATTTTTTATAAAACAGAAGAGATAAATTCAAATTGGTCCACACATGCTATATAAGGTGATGCATAATCAGTCCACTCAATTGGCTGAAGATCACTTGAAGTGCTTAGTGGAAAGGTCGTAATTCATATCGGGAGGTGACTTCATTGAGAAAAAACAAAAAAACGACACCACTTGGGCATTATTATACCTCCTCGTAACGAAGACCCATTACTTTTTATACAATGCTAAAATCAAACATTTATGAATTTATGAAGCCGTTTCACTAGTTTGTTTGTTTGGTTTATTTATAGATACAGAAATAATTTTCCCAGATACAGAAAACATAGCCGCCTCTTACCCCAGCTCATTGAAAGGACATGGTTACTTTGATGCTGTGTACCTCAGTTTTCAAAACACCTCAACAAAGACATGCAAAAATTTAATGAGCTTTGATAAGTGGCAGCCCTCTTTTCTGTGTTTGTGAAAATTATTATTCTATCGCTTAAAAGAAAATGAGCGCATTGTATTTCAATCTCTTTTCGTATTCCATCCAGGGGAAGAAGAGGTGTTTGATACCAGACTTTAGTTCTTTGTCTTCGAACCAAGGTAAATGCTTATTACGTCTGCTTTAATACTGAATACCGCTGACTAAAGGGTTGTGGAAAAAATCCCTCTAAATGTTTTTTTTGTTACATGCATCTTTCTAATCTTATAGAATACGTGTAATATTTGAGATGTAGGGTGAACTCTGTGCTAAATTTTTTAAATCCTTGGCTAATTCAAACCAATTTCAAATTTGAGATTTCACCGCAACTGTAATGATTGAAGTTATTGGAGATGAAGAAGGAAGTCTATTTTTTTTATTGCTATAATATGCTGTTTGTCTTTTTTCAAAGTCACTTACGAATTGTTTTCAGCTATCCCCTTCATTGTTGGCAGTAAGGGTACCAAAACATTTTCAAATTGATCAATTTTTTTCTCTGCTTTTGTTGATGTATGATTTGAAAAATTATAATAAAAAAAAAACTTCTGGGTGGCGAATATACCGCACTGATGAGTGCTCTCTCTGTATATGCTTGTATATTCATATCTGCCTTCTGTCCTTAAAGCACTGACCAGCTTACTGATTGACAGTCTGGTCACTTGACTTTCTGACTAACTGGCCGGTAAGCCGTCAAATTGAATTGACTACCTGAGCTATGACTACTGGCTGACTGACAGATGGGCTGATTATCTGCCTTACTGTTTTCCGGACTCTCCACCTGGCCAGTGGGCATGGTTATTACTAACTAGATTATATTATGGCTGCAATACACTTCAATGTAGACATGTAAACATTTAATGCTTGACTGACTGATTGTCGGGTCAGTAGATCAAACAAACAACTAATCGATAATTAACTTTTGCATTCATTGATTAGCATGCTTTTTTCTTTTGCGTCTGACAGTCTACAAGAGCCAAAAACATTGCCATTAGTATGGAGACTGCGAGTGCTGGAGAAAAACCAGAAAAAGTTCAAAGAAAAGAAAAAAAATAATTCTAGTAATCAATACGTATGGTCGTATGGTAACATCTTAATAAAAAAATCTGGTTTTTGGTCTCTTTTTTTTAGATTTAATGTTAACAATAATTAGTAACCTAGTTGTCTGAACTAATCATTGTATGGTAATTTAGTATAGTTGGAGTGGAACATATTGTGCTATATCTAAGTAGGCGTGTCGTGGTAGTTCATCTTTCTTTTGTTTTTTTTTCCCGCTTTTGGTTTGTTTCTTTGTTTCTTTGTTTTTGTAACATGTACATCTACCTGACACTTTGAGTCTGTTAGTTTTAGCGTATTTCTAAAGACCATGATTGCTACACCGCAGTTAAGTCGGATGGCTCAAGACGGAACACAAGGGGTGTAGCCAGCCTAGACTCCTGTACCATTAAATTTTATCATATCACTCTTACAAATTTTGAAATAAAAATTGAACTTTCTTAGGGTATAAGCCCACGACAAGTCGAAAACCTGGCTATGGTCCTGATGTGATAAGATATTCTATTCTGCATGCTGATCTTTCCATCATTAAATAAAATATAGCTGAGTAACTATTCTGATTAGGAATGCCTCACTGGTTTTAAAAGTAATGTTTAAGCTCATTTCCATGGAAAATGTTAAGTTTATTCGGAGTTTACTCATAGTTTAGAGGGGATTTGATGTCCCAGAAGAACTTTCTTGTAGAGTTCCTAATATAGAAAAGAGCATAGAAGGTTAATAATGTGATAAAAATAGAAAACTAACGAGCTTAAAAGAATTATCAGATATTAATCTGCACAACAACTATTTAGATAATTCATTTCTAGGTTTTGTTTAAACACGAAAAATCATATAAAATTTGACAAGAAAAACTTAGACAAATGGACGGGTTGAGGACGTCCACTTACTAGATATTTGATGGTACGCTGGTAATCTAAATAGTTCATTTCTTAACATTTTAGAACTCATCCGCGAGCATTAAAGTCATAAGGAGTTAAAGTGACGTTAATTTTGGGTTGTATATTAAATTAAAGAACTTAGACTTGCGGTTAAGATTTCCGCAGCTAGTAGACATTGGGCGGTACAGTAACAATCTGAATAGTTCGAACATTACTACAACTCGTCTGGCGAGTATTCAGAGTACGTGTCGAGTTGTTTAATTTCGTTAGTATCTCTAGCTGAAAAAAAAAAGGGAAAAATGTCACACACAAAAAGAGAAACAATTACTGGATAAGACGTCATGCATTAGAGATTTAACAATATATTGAATGACCTAACTAGCTCATTTCTAGAATTTTTATAACTCGTATGAGAGCATAATGATAGCTAAAAGGTAGAGTGACGTCTATTTTCGTTATGTTACTACGTTCTTTATGAACGCAAATTCCTTAAAAAAGAAATTAGAAAGATGTTGTGGTAACGAGTAACAAGTCAGATATAGGATATTAATTGGTACAATAACAATCTGATAGTTCACCTCCACAACAAGCTTGCGAGTACTTTGCATGCAAACTACGTTTAGAATTGTTAGAGGAAATAAACAAGGTCAGAGTTCGTTGTTAGAGGTTTTTATAGAATGAAAATAATTTAAGTAGGTCCTGTCTTAGAGTTTTTATAACTCGTTTGCGAGAATTATACTCATTAGTGACCTCTGTCATGGCTAAAGTCTGCCTCTTTACATAATTTACATTATTATTAACATTAACCTGAAAATCGACAAAAAAAGAAAAAAGGTCTTAGAATACCACTTAGACATTTAGTAGTGTTTTTAAATCTAATTTTGTAGCCCATTTCTAGATTTTTTTAACTCACAACGAGAATTCTAGTTCATTGTAGTATGTGGTATTTTTTTTAACTTTGTTCAAACGTGATCATTAACATGGCTTCTACAGTAAAAATAACTTGAATGTGTGAGTGGCTTTTTGAGGGAAGTAACACCGAGTTACGAAGAAGGGTTCCAGATCTACTGTAAAACGTTAACGAAGACTTCAATAAAACATCTTTATGACCTTACACATGAGTCCGTTCTCAGTTTACCCTATAAAGGTTTCTAAGTCACGCCTCGGGTTCATCCACAGTGTGGATTATGTGCCACAATGACCTGTGACAAGTAAACTGATACAAAATTGCTTTCTGTATCTCTCATAATGTTGAACTTTTCGTTTTAATGAGTTATTCAGTCTGAATTTTTCCCAGAAACTGAGCTGTTTTCTTTTAAAACCATAATGTATCTTCTTGACGCGACTCTCTTGGAGGTTTTTGGTTATACCCGATGTAAAAAAAGGGGTAACAAATATATATTTCCGGGAGGTTAGGAAACATTTTTAAGCTTTACGTTTCTATCCTAAGACTTCCACTAAGGGTGGGTGGGAGTGACGGTAAGCATTTAAAAAACCCTCAGATATGAAATCTTTACTGCACTGTGATTGGTTTAGAAGTCTCGCACCACCCTTTGTTCTGCCTTTTAGGGTGTTGACTCGTCATGAATTTTAGTCCTTAGTGACTGCTTGTGATATTTCCTTCTTGTCAACCGCTGAGCGAACTTAAGAAATTCAATAATTTGCCATTGCGGTTAAATTTATTGGGGGACTAGAATTTACGCTCCAAAGTTATATTTCCAGTGAAGGACTCGAAGGTGTAACATATAGAGATACACAGCTAATTATGACCACACTTGAAAGAGACCTTCGGTTAAACCTGAGTAAATCGAGCCACAAACCTGAGTGAAACTAACTTAACTTAAATAACTTAACGTCTGTACAACCCACTAGAAGCAAACCGGAAAATCTTCCCTTCCATTCTACACTCTTCCTCGTGCTACACAGCTAACCTTGCCTCTGGAAGCCTGACACAGTGAGG